AAAAAAAAAAGAAATCTTGTTTGTAGGTTGGTGGATTCCATCCACTGTGATGTGACCTTCTACACCTGCCATCAAGGAAGTGATGTCCCTGCTTTCACTGCTGTCAGGGGAGGGAAAAAAAGCGAAGTGAGAGAAATGCCCTCAATCAAATATGCAGCTTTACCCTAATGCTGGTGCTCAGGTATGTTTGAAGTTTTAATTGAGGTGACTTGGTTCACTATCAGCACTGCACTCCATCTTTCTTCATTAAGTAAAAGCGTCTCATGTTGAATACTGAGAAGGCTGCGTGGGAGGACAATGGCCACCTGATGCTGTCCCTTCAGTATCTCCTCTCTGAACTTTAAGACTACAGCACTCTCCACAGACACAGATGAGCGCCATGACAGAAAGGCTGTTTGGAAAGCAGGTAATTCCCATATTTTTTTGTTTAATTCCTCAGAAAGAGCTTTATATGAGGGAGGTTTAGTGCAGTGACATGAATGTTGCCTGTTAAGAGATCGAATAGAAAGTTTGTAATATCTAGTTCGTTTTTATCTATTAGAGAAAGCTTGGCTCACTGGAACATTTGTTAACATCTGTTAGCTTCTTCATCTCTCTTAGTTATTCAGTTTGTCACTGATCATTTTTAGCAAGTAAGTTCAAAATGTATGCATGTTCTTATTAATGATTACTGAGTAATTACTGCATTACACTGATGAACCACATGCGTAACTGATTATGAAAGCTAAACTTTTCCTCTTTCTTATTTCGATCCATATTCAAAACATCATGCCAAGTTTTACTAATATGTGTTTTACTTATATGCCAACAGATATACAATATTTTATCTTGCTTGCATTTAGACAACCAATATTCATTATGATATTTTCCTTGTTGATTATAACAGATTGTTGCAAAATAGCATTGAGACAACATTGGAAGGGAGGTGTTTTACAACAGTTGTCATATCATTAATGTTAAAGCAAGTAACAAGTAAAGTAAATAGCAATCATTACCACAGTGCTGAGCATTTTTCTGCTGGGAAATTTTGGGTCCTGGAATTTGTATGTATTTTCCTTTTGAAATGCACCACCCACCGACATTGTTCAAGAACAAGCACATCCCCTGGGGGAGGATGCTGCTATTAAGGTTTTACTAGCACAGGACACCACAAATACCTCCTCAGAACTGCTTGAGGAACACAACGAAACAGCCCAAGGCATTGATCCAGCCTCCAATCTCTGCAAATCTTAATGCAATCGAGGGGGTACAATCCTGAGCCACAGAGGCCCTGCCTGACAAGACGCAAGACGTCAAGCATTGGCTGCAAACGTCCAGGTGGGACCGTCTGTGCTGTTCTGGTCCAATATAAGCAATATACCCACTTAGCAGATGGTTTTAATGATGTGGCTGTTCAACATAGTATGTGTAGTCAATCAAATCTGTGTGTGTATACACTGTGGGTATGTGTGTGTGTACACACACTGTTAGAAAGGGAGAGAGCAAGAAAACAGTAAGATCTTTCTATCTAGTTTAGTAAGTCACATGAGAATTATACAGCTTATTTCTTTATACTTAATAAAAATTGCATTTATGTGCATGTGCACATGTGTAACCATCACAGTGAATGATTAAGGAATGGAAGTAGAGGACCTAAGGACTAACAAATTGGGTCTGATTTTCTCTCTGATTGCACAGTGACCGGCTAAAGGCTGTCTAGTGTGCTTGCATGCAATTGGCCTGCTGTAATGTGCTTCCGGCCTTCAATGACATAGAGTTAACATGGTGGTAGTAGAACGTGACTCATCATATCTGAGCTACTGACCACATGTCTCTGAAGGCTTGGCTGCTTTGTGTATTTTTATTTAAATTTCAAAAGTTGTTTTTCTTTGTTACTGCTTCAATATTCTGCTCCAGCTCTGACCCTCCACACTGTAGCTACTAAACTGCATTTGTGCAGTTCAAAATCAGAATAAATGGGGCAGTAGTTTAGCTCACTGGGATGTGGGGAAAAAAAGCCTGTGGGATTGGCACATATACCACAGAGGAGAGCACAGATATTGGGGCAAGGTACTATAAATGGAACCTGGAGCTTTCCTTAAGGTTTAGGGCCACAAATGTGCCTCGCTATAGTACATTGACCGCATTTTGATAATGTGCACATGAGCAGGGAAAGTTTCACTACACTGCATAAAATACTGCATCATGGGGACACTAATATACTTTGGAAATGTATAGAAAGAAATCTTGGCTATATATAAAACATTAGTTTGATGGAAAAAACTGGGAAAGCACCTGATATCAACACCCTCGGGCAAAGATTCTGATAACCTTAGAGGAATCAATACTGTACTATTTCCAAAAAGGCAGCAATGCATATGACATCATTAGTAGCACAGTTTGTGTCCTTGATTGTAAAGATTAAAAGATGATAAATACTATTACTATGTAATACCAGTCATTTAGAGACGTGATGCTACTTAATACCTTGCATTAAGAAAAAGAAAGAAAAAGAAACAAACCTTAACTGAGCTCACTTCATGTTATTGACTTTTCATGTCAACCTTCCTGAGGGATTAATGGAGCAAAATAAAATGCAAAAGAGTGACACAAAAGGTTTGTGACAGTGCATGCTTCGGAATGGAAATCTATGTGTTCCTTTCGCAGAGCAAGAGTCCCTTGGCGACTGTGCCCGATCCACCCTGATTTCATGGTTTGTCAATTCCAGGATGGAGTCATTCCAGATGGGAAGAACTCTCAGCTAAACGATGTGAGGACTTGACTTGAGAAGGCCAGAGGGGAGAGGCACAAAGTTTAACATATTAACCTGTGAGACCTCAATTAGGATGAAGGCTGGCCTCTATCTGAGTCATACAGTATACTTGTGGAAACAGATACAGTCCAGCAGAATGCCAAATCATCATATACAAATAAACCATAAGTGCACCTATCAGGGAATCTCCATTCCATTCATTTGCACTAAACATTTGTGGGTTAGCCCATAATGACTGCTTAAAGTATCATTTGACATTCTTCGGCCATAATATTGTAATTATGGAAATCTTCTTGCAACAAACCGTCACATGCCTAAAATGACACATGCAATTTTCAGGTAATCGAGAAGTGGGCATCACATGTCTTGCCGCCTCACTCTACCCCAGCAGCACCCATCAAGCAGTATTTGCGGGGGTGATAATGTGCCTGATGTGAGCTCTCTCTCTCCTTGTGTGTTATGTGTAAAAAAGGGTAACTTGACCGCTGTGACGTGACGACGTCTGCAATTTATGAGTAAAAACAACTTTAGCCAAGCAGACACGAGCTTTTTTTCATCCTCACTGCGTTCAGGAGAGACTCTATCACCTGCAAAAACTTTGATAATTGTGAGTTAGGAAAAAAACATTAAACACAATCTCTGAACTTCACCAAGTCATAAAAGTTTGATT